ATATATATATATATATATATATATATATATACAGTGTATATCAGTGGCCCTTGGCTTGGTATTGTTGGCAGAATTCAGCCCTCGGCGAAAACTAATTGAGGAACCCTGGCTTAGTCCATTTGTCTGTAGTCCATTCTGTCCACTTCTGAATAGGTGGGTAGTGGAGATACTGATATGGAGCCACGTCACTGCATTTCCGGTACAGACAGGTCCTATTCACGTCAGTCTGAAGAGGTTAGGAGGTTTAAGCTTTATTTAAGTCCCAAAATGAACATTCTGTCATCCTTTACTCACACTCATGTTCTTACAAACCTCTATGATTTTCTTTCTTCAATGTAACACAAAGGAAGATTTTACATTGCATACAGTGAAAGCACAAAAAGCTGAAAATTTACTGTAAAACAGATGACTTTAAGCTCTATCGATATGATAGCTATACTGTATAAAGGGATAGGTACACTGTACTGTTAGTCACTTTGAATAAAAGCGTTTTCCACATGCATAAACAGCACATGCATAAAAAAGGCTGTAAAAGTGCACCGTCCTGTGATGTTATCAGTCTACTCATACATAAAACATCTGTAAAGAGTTATGGTCCATTTATGTGAGTGACATGAAATTATGAAATGCATAACAGGAGACAGAGGGAGCGAAAGGATGGAGAGAAGGGGAGGAGGAAAAGACTGTAAAGTGCTGCTCTCTGAATGTTTAAGGGCAGAAGGGTGCCACTGGTTAAAGTCTGACACTTCAAAGCAGCAAGAGCTGCGTTTGATGTAACGCAAGCCTAAAAGCAAACATGCAACTGTCTGTCTGCTTCTGTGCTACATGCATCTCACATGACCCTGTGGACATTTCAACTAACGCGCACACACATTTGCACACAATCACCAGTTTCCCATGTGTTTACTTTACGCTTATCACTCCAATGCTTTTTATGGTGGTGTCACATTTCCTGTCCCTTTAGGCAATTTGGTTTTGCTTTCTGACATGTGGAAAAACAAGTTCGAACCTGACAAGCTTGTGATTTGTGACATTACATCTGTAGGTGATTTAATAAAATTGTTCAATTGGGAAAAAAAAAAAATGCAACAATTATCCGTTTTTCAATTGCCGTTTCCATGGAAACCCTGAAGACAGACAGACAGACACCTGGCTCACTTTTCTTCATATAAACAAACAAAGGGTAATGACCACAGAACAGAGGCAACAGTAAATCTACGAGCAGTAAAAACGTGTCTTCCAGCCACAGTTTACATTTCGCAGCATAACATTTTGAAATATTAGATCATTAATGTGCTGAGAGAGAATGTAATCGCAAGGTTTATTAAAAATTACGAGGGAGAAGATTAATGCAAATCTCCAGAGTTTAAGTCTGGTCAAGTGGATGCTCAGTCATCCTGGCAAATGCCAGAGGGGCCGGACCATTTTGTTTAAGGGGCCGGTCAGATTTTTACTAAATATATATAAATAAAATTGTTTTTACGGGTCAACAGCACATAGGACAGGTTTTTATCGCTTGCACGATTTCTCTATGTTATAATAATAATAATGTTAATAATAAATAAATTTTAAGCATTCGGCCCAGTCGGCAACGGCCGGCCGCCTGGTCCCGAGATGGGCCGACCGAACCGTTCAGTCAAAATCAAGCATGTCATCAGAGAGATTGCAACACGAGCTAATTTTCAGTAAAAGCTAGATAATGGACCGTAAAAAAGGAAAGGCGGTGCAGAAAAACTTTGAGAAAGGGAAAAAAAGGGCTTAAGTCCGACGCTGCTAAATGCGTAAAATTAAACGAACTCTTTTCAAAAGGTTTAAATTCGGCTGCTGCAGCGGAGGATATTTAGTGCCGCAGAGGTAAGAAGAAAACAGAAAATACAGCTAGCACAAGTCATTGTCACACTACTTCTGCCAGTTAGCTCCTGTTTTTTTTTTGTCAGTAGCCTACATTGTATTAAACAGTAGTAAGCTTAGCGTAGAACCCCAGTAATGAAAAATTTGTAGCTAGTTAAAAAATGAAATGTCAGAGGTACAATTCAAGAACATGCCAAAAGTCCTCAAGATGAGCTCACAGTAGGTTTTAAAGTCAATCTTTATGTGCCACTGATAATTAATTGTTTACTGTAATCTTTTGCAGTGTTAACACTATAATTGTATAACACTGAGGTTTTGGTCACTTAAGTTATTTTTAAGTTAACCATGTTATTGTCAATATTTTTAATACATCACAATCATAGTCATTACGTGATCACACATTTAAGGTTTAAACTGAACGAGCTCTTTGTCTTGCAGTAATTATTGCTTTGCTGTGTTGAAACACTTACTACTGTAATACAGAGGAAATGCTGCTTTTCAATTGCTTTTATATTTTAAAATGTCATTGCTTCGTGATAATTGGTTAACTTACGTGTTACCGAGCCTGTTACTGAATTGAATGACTGAAATATCAGCAAATAAAGTGGGATTTAGGGTAAAAACTGATGTAGGCTACTTGCAATATAGTCTAACACATCAAAAACCTATAGCAATAGCCATAGTACTATAGACATTTGTAGTGAACTTTACCTTGAATATGTAGATAGTCATATATTAAAATAAAACATTGAGCATGCATACATCACATAAGTTTACAGTATGCAATTAATCCTTAGGTAGGGTGGACTGCAGAGTCAAGTGTCATGGAGGTAGGAAGACACAATGAGAGAGACACACCCTGATACAGATGCTGCCAGTTTCTTAAT